CGAGTATCAATTTACGATATCATGTTGTTAAGTGGATAGTACGATAGTGCGATTGCTCCATCGTTTTACATTGCCTTGTACATTTTGTGATGACCTAGTTTTCACATGCGGTCCATCCGTGTGGGGAAGACACGCCTGCCGCACAGTCGAAGTTCACTGGGCTTGTTAAAGACTCGCGGTTGTAGACAAGGTGTGGTTCCTCGCTCGGGTTAGCTGTGCAAGCACCAAGTCCCTTGGTGCAGCTGAACTATCCGACCGATCGATAAATGAACCCGATCGATCGTGTGATTTTCAGGCCGGCATAGGAGAGGGATATGTTCTGAATCCGATGCTCCTCAAGTGTTGGTAGAAAATCGGCTTTGGAACGATGCGCCATGTGGGAAATTCGGAATGGAAGGAATTCAAGCGATGATGCTGGGCCAAAGTTTGACTCGGGTTTGGTAAAGGGATAATCATAACAAAACTTTGAACTTGTCTTAAGTACGTACTACATTATCCATTAATACAGGCCCACGCAAAGCTCTTCTTGCTATTTTCCAAACGGCTGTTTTCGCGTAGAACGATCTTACTAACTACGTCGGAGATAGAATACCGGAGGAGAAAACAAATACTATGGAAAATGCATATTTGTTTCATAAAAGTTGTTCACTATGTTTTCCATTCTGCTACTTGCATAGCAAAATACGGCGAAGATAGTTGTCTTCCACCTTGAGAATAGTAACAGTTCAAATTCAAATCTTTTTATGGGTAAATTACAAAGCTGATGCTTATCGAATCCCATAGGATCTGTACACACTTGGTTTGATTAGTCGTACAATTAAATAGCAAATTATGACATTCACTCACAGGTGCTTAGGTGTTTCAACACTTCATTCAGTCGTGACTTGAATGAATCGATGGTTGGTGCACAAACAACTTGAGGTGGAAGAGAGGTCCAGGTATTACAAACTCTGAAGCTGAAAGAATGGCCCTGCAGTCTATCCGACTCTTTTTGAGTAAACGTTCAAACGGATGTCCTCGAAAGTGACCAATCCTGGATAGTGTTAGTAGAGTGCCACACGAGAAGAGCGTGGGCCTGTATTAATGGATAATGTAGTACGTACTTAAGACAAGTTCAAAGTTTTATTATGATTATCCCTTTACCGAACCCGAGTCAAACTTTGGCCCAGCATCATCGCTTGAATTCCTTCCATTCCGAATTTCCCACATGGCGCATCGTTCCAAAGCCGATTTTCTACCAACACTTGAGGAGCATCGGATTCAGAACATATCCCTCTCCTATGCCGGCCTGAAAATCACACGATCGATCGGGTTCATTTATCGATCGGTCGGATAGTTCAGCTGCACCAAGGGACTTGGTGCTTGCACAGCTAACCCGAGCGAGGAACCACACCTTGTCTACAACCGCGAGTCTTTAACAAGCCCAGTGAACTTCGACTGTGCGGCAGGCGTGTCTTCCCCACACGGATGGACCGCATGTGAAAACTAGGTCATCACAAAATGTACAAGGCAATGTAAAACGATGGAGCAATCGCACTATCGTACTATCCACTTAACAACATGATATCGTAAATTGATACTCGGACATCTTAAATTGATGCCGTGACATCTTAGATTGATGTTGTGACATCTTAAATTGATATTCGGAAATGTTAAATTGAAAAAGATACGGACAAAACTGTCCCACAAGGTCAGTTGACTGAGCACCTCAGGGCTTCATTTGATGACCTACATTTGGCGGTAGAGTTCAAACTGGCCAGTTATTGAATAAAGCGGATGCTGTTGATTAAGTTCAAGTTCATTTGGACTATATTCAAAAATAACTAATTTTTACGTTCTCACAATCTTTCCATATGTATTGGGCTTGCGCAAGTTACTCTGTCCTGTTTCTATTGTAGGTTGGTGACCAATCAGTGCTGATCACTATCATAACGCCCGGAGGTTGTGCTCGAACCCCGTCACTGACACCTAACTTGCCTTTATTATTTGTAGCGCACAGAGATGCTTTTAATGACCGCTTCCTCTTTACAGAAAAAGTGGTTGTATAATTATTTACTCAATGAATGGAAACAAAACGAATAAAGAATAGTGTATTGACTTATTAATGATTCCAGTATGGATCACACTGACCTCTTTCAGGAACTTATCCGTTCCGATTCATTGCAAATCAATGGTTAGGATGATTTTATTCATTCATGCATCCACTTATTGACCGATTTATATACTGTCTTGGAAAACGACAAACAACACTAATACAAACCAATTTGAGTATGTGCGTTTTTTGTTACACGCCAGCATATGATGAACGGAGGAAGGAAGAAACCCTTGAGTTATGAGAACCTGTTGTTCACTCAGGGAAACTGGCAACCTAAGCCCCAGGACTTGGAGAGGCGAATCGCGTAGGACTTCACTAGCATGTGGGTTGTATTGAGCCGTATAACAGCGAAGCCACCAACCACCCAAGTTGGATGACATTGTATAGTGAGAACGGTAGACTTCTAACTTCAGAAGACCTCTCAGACACGTACGTCTTAAACACAGATGTAAAAATCTAAGAAATTTTACGTGTGAACGGTAAAACAGCTTGAGCAAGTTAGATGTGTTATGAATGCAAGGAAGCACGTACCTTGTACTCTAAATCATCAGAACTTAATTCATGGTGGCCAACCAAATGTCCAGAAGCCGAATGAGTAAGGGTGGTCGGGAAAGGAGGCAACTCCGTCTGTGAGGCGGTAGGTGAAGTCAACGCGGAACGCGCTTCACGCATACAGGACAAGGTCGATTTAGTCGGCTCAGAACGACGATTTGCTCGACGAAGCAACGCTCTGAATGACCCGCTGGTGCGAGAATTTAGCGCTTCTGTCGCCTTACGTCCGGCCCATTTACGCAGCCGCGCTATAGTAACTGCACGAGGCGAATCCGTCGGGACAGAAGTTATTGGTTGCCGGTGCGGAGACATGTACTGGTCCACAGCTGCCAATTCGNGCCAATTCGTCGGGACCACGACTAAGACGATGCCATTGACGTCGAATAGCTGAAGAGGCAACTGCGACTGCGGCCTGAGCGGCAGACTGTGCACCTTGAAATTATGCAAGTGAAAGAGATCGAGCAAGTTAAACTACACAAAAACAAGTCAGTTACATTTTCGTTCTCATGTGCAGCTTCATCAATAAACGTTCGATGTGGCGAACAATAAAGAAAATCGCAGACTAGTTACAGTGACACTTAAGTGTTTGGAGATAACAGTGGTAACCAATGCTGAACCGAACTAGTGATTACTAAGCTGCAGTTCACCATTAACCACCAAAGGTGCTACCAGAAACAGGTCATTTACCTCGGATGTTAATTAATGCAATTTCGTATTCTATCACATTACGTGATGCAAATGAGAAAGGGTAAAACACGTCGCGAGGACCTACACTTAGGTAATGGATGATCGATAATCTAAGTCTGGATGTTAACAGTAGTGAAGAACACGACGTTTCTATGGGAAAGACGCGGGGTCCAGCCATGTTACAGTAAAAGTTGGATGATTATCGCAGGGTATATATATTCATACTTAACACCGGCTTGCGGAAAAGCATGGTGCCAAGGCGACAACAATAAGAACAATAACAATAACGGCAGAGGGGTTGGGATACAGAACGTAGGAAAAAAGACGGAACTATTAAAATAGAAAATTACGAATAAACGGGATAGTAACTTTTGTGTGTTTCATCGTATACTTTTTGAAATTCTTTTGTGTCAGTTTATCGTTCTTGTTTATGGGGCACGGGACTTCAACAGACAAACCGTACAGCATTCGCGCCACTGACTACTACTCTGGGCCATATCTCTTAGCGTCTCTAAACGACAATCTTCATCCCTTGGGCCCCAACCTGGAAGGCGGGCTGCACCAACCAAACTAAAGCTGAAGCCAGCATATTCATACCTCTACGTCATGTCATGGTCGGACCACCGAAAGCATGCCAATAGCATTGACTTAAACTGCAACAACAACCAACACCAACAACATCCGGGAATTAGTCATTAAGATTCATCTTCTGCAGAAATCATGTCAAAAATCTTATACAAATTACCCCGGTTCAGGAAATGGGTGTACAAATATCCGTTTCGATTCACTAGTTCTGTTCTGCCGATTATAAAATGATAGACATAAAATGCAGGTGAATAATGTACCTTTCGATCGCGCATGTGGCGTGCGCATCACATATAAAACATGATGGTTAAGGACACACGACACTGGATATGATAATTCCTTGTTTCCCTAAACATCCGGTGACAGAAAAAGGGAAAACACACGTAAAACACACTTAATTGCGTGATGGTTTTGTAAAGCACCTCATGGTCAGTAACCCCTTTCGGGCTGCAGGGACAAACAAAAACTGGCACAGTCATTTTGAGCAGAGTTGTTCACGTCCCAGGCAATTGTGTGCGCTCTGTATGCTACCGATGATTAACCGAAATTCGGCTTCCTGTTCTCCTCCATTACCGTGACCGTTTACACAGTTTGTAACGAAGAATGGGGCATGCACAATTTAAAATGTAGGTGAGGGGAAGAGTGATCCAATTTGTTGAAGAGCAGTAGACTCCTTATCTGCTGCCTCCCATTTTGGCGGAGTGAAAAAACAGAACCATCCAGTGGATAGTTAATAGATCTGACGGAGCATAAAACGAGGAGATTCACCAATTAATCAAAACATGTAGTGCCACTAGTTTGTTTGTTCGTCAGTTTTCTACGGTATTTGAGTGTACCCACATCTTTGAGCCTATAGCAAATCCCGTGATCATAACGCGCGACAACTACAAAAAACGCGAAGCGTTACTAGCGCTGGACATGAAACAACACGCACGGACGCATTATTTGCAGCAGTTCCAAAATTCGGCAGTAGTTGCCGAACCCTTCAGGTAGTTAATTAATCAGCGAGAGAATTCACAAACATTTACATGTTTCATTTAGAGTAATCTAAGCCTGAATGAAAAAAGTGATTACGAAGTGTTGTGTCTCGCCAAGACGTGTGTTCGATATGAGCGCCTCTTGACTAGCCCCCAACAATCGATACGGAGAGAGAACACGGTTGAGAAAACGATAGTCAGAGTATATTATTGATCGTGACGCAATACGCAAATATATGCGGTACACTGGGTGTACGAGAACGATGTGATGATGCACCAATCAGATAGCGACCTTGACAATCCGGTTGATCGATTGAACGTCAGCTATCTCATCCACCTTAGTCATCCAATTCGGAATCGACTCAGCTTTGGGCGTCACAAACGCACTTGTGGTGTGAAACGGGTCGATGTGTAGCCTGACGGATTCCGCGCACCCCATCCCAACCCAAAGTGTGAAGCAGTGATTGAGTAGTGACCAGAGCTGCTGCGACTGGCGTGCGTCGAACCCCGAGATTCTAGGTTTGAAACCTGCCACCCAAACCAACTTTGAAGCTAGGCAGTTTATCTTTCGTCTGAATCACTTCCTATCAGGTCTCCGTTTGATTTTTTTACTCCAATGCTTACCATGAGCAAACAGTAGGCCCTCATAAATATGAGATTTAGCTCTTTTGCAGTCTATGGACACAATGCGTGAGAACAAAACAACTTCAAGGTTGAAAGTTCGAAGCTTGTTTGGCTATCTCTCGGTTGGGTAGTTCGTTTATCCTTTTAAAGAGTCGTGTACCAGAAATTGTGTTGACCATTGCCACGGCTAGTTTCAGAGATAATGCGTTTCACTCCTGCTATAGGTCATCTCAATGTTGCGTGGTCGAAGATACGAAACGAGGTAATAAAAAGGATTAATAATAAAGATTTGTATGTTTTGTTCGCTACATGAAAAACCAGATAGTTGATTATTGAATATTCGCATGCATAACTAACTACATAGCCAATAAGAACGTACGTGACAGAACTGGAGTTGCTTCTTTTGAAACATGTTGTTGCTTTGGAGCAGCCCGGCGAGGAATCGGAGAATCTACATCATCACCGGTGGAAATTTCAAAAGCAAAATCTTCGGACGGATTGGAGATTGCATTTGATGGAGGCTTATCATCATGCAGGCGACCGCGATTGACTGGTGGCATACTGGCACGACGAAGCCGTCGCTCTAATCGTCGGTGCATCTCGTCCAAACGTGCAATAAATATGTCTTTTTGTTCCTGCTCGAAATCCAATTCCTCTCGATAGGCTAACTCTTGTACGAGTACCGCTGAATATTCCCGTACACATGCTTCCAAATCCTCCAGCATGGCATTTAATTGATCCAAAGACAAGTTTTGTAATTCTNGTTTTGTAATTCTGATGAAAAAGAAAGTAAAACTATTGTTAAGTTGAGAAAACCAATGATTTGGTGTAACTATTGTTGCATAGGTTGCAGAAGATAGTCGGTGCATGATTTGTGGTGCTGTGGTTTACTAACTGTTACTAGCGCGCTATGCACACTATGATCCGAGGTTCGGACCCAGCCACCGTCAACCACCTTTGGTGATAGGCAACTTAGCTGTCGTCCGGTTGAATATCACGTCTAACCTAGCGCGGCCTTGTTGTTCACCGCTTCAAGTCATGGGGTCTAGGTCGCGGGTTTCCATCAGCGAACAGCAGGTTTTCGTAATTATTGGATCCACCCCGCCAGCTTTCCATCACACAAATGTGTAATAAAAAATAGCGGAATAGGAGAACAACGCGACGACACTGAACAGTCGAATCTCACACGGTACTGTCCGAAGTTCTGAAGACAATGTGTTAACACATGTGACGTCCGATTATAAGTACAGATTTGTTTGACACAACCAGATATGGTTCAACTGCGTGTACCAATAAAGGTAAGTTGTCCTAATGCTTCTCTATGTCACCTACAGTTGCACATCAGACAAACACCCTGAATCCCCTCTCAAATATGGCTTTTTATTGGCACTTTTATTGCATGCCAAGAATGACATACAGGGACAGGGTTAACCCTATAATCGTAAAAGTTACTGTATGGTGGAGATGGAGGAATATTTATTCAAAGCTCAATGTGTCGATTATTCTGTTGAATATGGAACGGTTATGCAATGTTCCACAATACCACAGTTTTCGAAAAAGACTTGAAAGTCGTTCGACAGATTTTCAGAGTCAACTGGTAGGGGTGACTTATGAGCTCATGACCGGGTCTTTAGAGTAAACAGAAGTGATGAATCCAACGGATAACACAATTAATTTATAACTAATCACACAATTAATCAGCGTACGACCATCAATTTTATAGGCGGGTATCGCGGAGCCTTATTCAGGAACATGTGGAATGCATCTGTTTTCGTTAATCAAGTGTTCAATCAAATAGTTCGTTCATTATCACTGCACATTACTTGGTGATAGATAACCGTTTAAGAACCGGGTAGGCGGTAGATGCAAGAACGGTAGAGCGTTCTTGATATTCAGTCTACCACAAATTTCATATTTGGATTTATATTGCTCAACTGATCAAATGAAACTTTGACCACCCGCTCAATTATTAATTTCTTCAAATTTATGTAAGTCGTTGGCGTGCTTGGACAAGACAACGTTGACAGTGTGGAAGATAATGTCCTGCAATGTGGTTAGAAGACTCTTTTATTGATTACACTAACTTTGAAGTCACAAGTCCTTGCAAGTGAGTCAAACACATTGGACAATGCCATTTTTCATAATGAAATTACGCCCAAATAGTGATAATTAGCGACGAAGAAAAAGCATATTCTCACCAACAGAGAAGATCAGTTTTAGTTATTACAATCATTAAATATGCGCTTTTGTACGCCGGTATATATATATATATATATATATATATATATCACAGTTGACACCAGGCT